ATAAATTGTGCTGCTATAAACATTCAAGTGCAGATGTCTTTATTACAGAATGTCTTTTTTTCCTTTGGATAGCTGCCTACTAGTGGGATTGCTGGATCAAATGGTATTTCTATTTTTAGCTCTTTGAGGTATCCCCAAATTACTTTCCACAGGGGTTGTACTCATTTGCAGTCTTGCAAGCAGTATAAGAGTGTTCCAATCTCTCCACATCCACGCCAGTATTTGTTGTTTTGGGACTTTTTGATAAGGGCCATTCTCACTGGAGTTATGTGATTTCTCATTGTAGTTTTGATTTGCATTTCCCTAATGATTAGAGATGTTGAGCACTTTTTCATATGTTTGCCGGCCATTAGTCTGTCTTCTTTTGAAAAGTTTCTGTTCATGTCTTTTGGCCATTTATTGATGGGGTTTGATTTTTTGTTGATTTTCTTAAGTTCTATATAGATTCTTATCAGATCTTTATCGGATGTGTAGAAAGCAAATATTTTCTCCCAATCTGTAGGTTGTCTATTTGCTCTAATGATAGTTTTTTTGGCTGTGCAGAAGTTTTTTAATTTGATCAGGTCCCATTTGTTATTTTGTTGACTATTCTTATAAAAAAAAAATTCTAATAACCTGAGAATCCCTAGATACCCCCACTAAAGACTTGGGCCATCAGGGCACAGGTCAACATAACTGATGGCTTCTGGGTCTCCAAAATTAATAGGTGGTTTTGGCTTGTCTTCCTGCTCTCTCCTCATTTGTGAAGCCTTAAGGAGGGTGCTCACATAATAGAATCTTTCGATAGTTGTATCGTCATACTGCAGGGGGATTTTCTAGTCCGGGGAATTCTTCTCATTCTACGCCAGAGATGAGAGTACGTTTAAAGACATACAAAAGGAACGCTACCAGCTTTCAAAATTTTTTTTCTACAAGGGGGGCGCCCTTTAACCAGAAATCAGACAATTCTGCATCTTGGGTGGTGAACCGTGATAGCAGATTTTTTTAAAGTTCTTCCCACGAAATTTATGATGAATAAGGACTAAAACCTCTAGGGAATATTAAAAATAACTATTATTTACTGTTGACATTTCAAATCAAGTAGTTTAAAAAGTGAATGTTGTAATTTTCTTATCAGAAAAGCACATACTCCCTAAGGAACAAAGGTTCCTGAACTTAATAAATCAGAAACCACAGATATTAAGCTTATTAATTTAACATATCAATGAAAAGATCTCAACACTATAAATAAAAATTGCCATTAAATTTACTTACTTTCTTTGGTACAAACAGAAATATAAAGGATTTCTTTAAAACAAACTATATTAGGGGAAACAAAAATTTACTTTAGGAATCTGATTGAGGTATAGACAATGCAGATTCCCTCTTAAATATACTTTATATTAAAAAAAAAGTCCAAACATGTTGTGAATTTAGCCTTATCAAAGTAATTTTCATACATTACTTATAGAAACAACTCTTTTCTACTTTAAAATCCCACCATGTTTTGGTATCAAACAATTTGTTTAGATTTGAAATAAATATCCATGAGTGAATATAATGTTTCAGTGCTGGGTTGAGGGCAGATTTGGGACAGAAAGGAAGATTCTGAGATAGCCGTGAGGAATCAGTAGTCAATACCAGGAGTCAGGGCAGCTTGGCATAAAAGAATCCAGAAAGGCTTTCAGCAAGAGGGAGGAGACAAAGTCAGAGGATGGGAATTCCACAGGACTTGAGGACAAGGAAGTCAGCTCTTCAGGTTTTGATTTTCTGAAAGCCTCTTCCTTCTTGAAATCCCCTCCCCCTGGTGTTCATGACTCTCCTGTACTCTTCTGGTTTTTATCCCATTTATTTGACTATCCTTTTGGTTCCTGTGATTTCAAATTGACATCTACATCTATTCTGTGCTCATTTTCATACCCAGAAGCCCAGCTGTTTCCTAGTTATTTCAATTTGGCGGCTTGTCAATACTTAAAATTCCATGTACTGAAAATGGAAATACTACTACACTCTCCCAACCTACTGCTCCCTCTCCACCATTACCATGACATCACTTAACTGCAATCAGAGTCGTATTTCAGCGTTCTCCTTCCATTCTCCTCTCCTTCCATTTTTTAATGGCTCGTCTGATCCCATGGCTTCTACTACTCTCTGGCAATAACTGCTGCATCCCCTTTACCACCCTCCTGCCACCACTCTGGGTCACGTCTCACTTGGTGCCTGCTGCCACACTACTGCCTCTCACCTAGAGCACCACTTCCCTCCGTTTTCTAGCAAAGATTCATTCCTAAAAGTGGTGTAAAAAGGATTCTATTTTCCTTGCTCAAAAACTTTCAGTGTCTCCCCATGGATCTAAGAATTGATGTAAGCACCAGCCTCTCCACATGGCTCTATTATACCTTCCCCATATTATCTTTCTTCCTACGTGGCAGCGTGGCACAAGAGAAAAGATATGAACTTGAGTCAGATCCAGATTCAAATTCCAGCTCTGTCTCTTAAAAACTGTGAAACCAAAACTAAAAACTTTAAATTACCAAGCAAGTCATTTACTGCTCTGAGTCCTTTCTTGCTCATCTGCAAGTGCAAGTAATAATTGTAGAGCCAGCACAACACTTTCTGCCCCCAGGGGTTATAAACTCATTAGGCAAGTTGAGCCTCTCCTGTGGTAGTCACTTAGCATCTGCCTTGTAGTCAGTGGCCAATGATTTTTTTAAATTGAAAACCCAGAGCATGACTTATTAAGTGTCAGTGAAACTGGTTAATAGAGCAGTTCTGTACCTTTACTTGGGGAATTTCCTATGGATCCTGAAAGGACAAGAGCCAGGTCCCCAAGTACATCCAAGCCTTTTAGGTGGAACTATGCAATTGGCCTTTGGCTAAGGGGGGTGTGCAGAGCCCGAGAATCAGCAGCAGTGTTTGGGAAGCCAGTCTCTGATTTAAAGATGACCCCAAAGTGCAAGACAGTCATAAAGCTGCACTTCTGTTAGGTTTAGAAACTTAAAAGTGCTTAGGATTTCACATGCAAGTACATTATGAAGAAAATACAAGGTCCTCAATGTCCCTTTCTATGAAGGAAAAAGGGATTTTTGTCTGGTTTGTTTACTAGCATAGCCCAAGTGCCTAGAATAGAGTCTCGCATGCAGAGGGTGCTTAGTCAATAAATAATGAAGGAATAAATGAGTGAATGAAAGCAGCAATGGCATGCATCTTACATATGCTATACTTGCCAAGTATACAGGAGATCCTTAACAAATACTTGACTAGTTGAGCATAAGGATTTATACCCTAACCAGTCAAGAGCATTTAATAAAGTACCAGAAACTAAAATATTTTTAACCTATATTATCACCATTTTCTTTCTGAAATTATCTAATCATTAATTTATTTCTCACCTCACAACAGGGGAGTATCACACCTTGAAAGTAGGTGAGGAGAGAGACCTGAAAGTAGGAGATTAAGTAGATATTTTTAGCTGGAAAGTTAAAAATGTCTAAAATTGGTTTGAATACATTGAATGGAATGAAGAAAATCAAATGATTTTTGAAAATGCAGTAAAGAGATGGAGGAAAATGAGTCATAAGGTGTATAGAACTTGTTTGACAAATTTGTTTGGGAAGAATGTTACATTTATATATTGCATTTTTTTCCCATAAGTGCTCAAAGTTTGTATAACTGTCATTCATGTATGAAGGAAGAATAGATAAATTCCTCTGCTACAGGTGCAAGAACAAAGGCTCAGTAAAGTTAATGATCTATATTTACAATCAGAGGTAGAGCCGGGGTTGGAAGCCAGGTCTCCTGAGTATTCAAAAGTAGATACAGTCATGGAAGCTTAAAGTGAGCCTGCTACATTTCAAGAACATGAATGAAGTTTGGCTAGAATGAAGTGGGTATATAGAAAAGTCACAGGAAATTGGGTTAAAGAAATACATGTAAGATGTATTACTCAAAACACTCTGTAACCTAATAAAGAATTTGGATTTTTATCCATGTCAGTCACTTTGAAATTATTTTTAAAGCAATAAAATCCTTCGTTAATAAGACATCTGACATGAGATGTCGATATACAAAACAAATTAAAAGGAGGTGGTTTCTCTGATGGAAGCTGGTCCCCCCTTCCTGCCCTCAGCCTCTGAGGAGAGAAGTTTGAAAACTGTCCCTAGTGCTGACATGTTTTGAACACGGCGATACACCAAGTGGCCAAGAGAGCAGGTGGGGACAGACGCAGGAGGCCTGCCCGTCCAGCTGCCAGTGGGGAGGGAAGGCAGAGACACTGCTGTTGGGAGAAGCATCAGGACAGACTGCAACGGCTCAAAGATGCCAGCACAATCACAGAATGGTGACGGGCAAAGGAGGCAGCTACTGGTGTTGCTGGAAGGCAACGATGTGCTTTTAAATGTGCTGCAGGCAATTAGATATTTATATACACTATGCTATGGTCAAAGGAATAGAAAGCAGCACTTTCTTTCCTCTCCTAGTTTTCTTTTTCAAATAGATGACGTCAAAGTCCACTGCAAGACTCAGAAAGCTGCACTTTGTTATATTTAGAAATGTTTAAAAGTGTTTAGGATTTCACCTGAAAGTCCAACATGAAGAAAATGCAGGTTCCTCGATGCCCCATTCTAAGAAAGAAAAAGGACTGTTTCTATTTTAGTAATATTTCTGTTCTTCAAACAGTTTTGATAACCAGCACATTAATTATGATCTTTAAGAACTATTTTTTCAACGGATTTAAGCGTAATTAAACGATTTACTTCAAACACACGTACACCAAATTATTTTCGAAATGCAAGACTTTTCTTGTGCTTTATAAATCACGAACGTGAATGTTACCTAGTATGTGCATCCGACTTGACTACCGGTAATTCTGATGCACATTATTTTGATTGGGAATTACAGTTTTTTGGCAGAAGCGCATCTGATGAGGACGACGACCTCTTCTTCCTGTGCGTTTCTGCAACTTGTGATGCAAACGCTCCCGCCCTTTTCTGGGAAGACAGAAAGCCTGACTCAGGCGGCTGCGGCTATTAAAGCGGCTGCAGCCCTGCACGCTCCCTGCCGGGCGAGCAGCGCCGCAGACATGAAGCTTGCCGACTGGTGCTGGCTGAGCTCAGCCGTCCTTGCCACTTACGGTTTCCTGGTGGTGGCAAACAATGAAACAGAGGAAATCAAAGATGAAAGAGCAAAGGACGCCTGCCCGGTGAGACTGGAAAGCAGGGGGAGATGCAACGAGGGAGGGGAGTGCCCCTACCAGGTGCACCTGCCCCCGCTCACCGTGCAGCTCCCGGAGCAGTTCGGCAGGATCGAGGAGGTGTTCAAAGAAGTCCAGAACCTCAAGGAAATCGTAAGCAGCCTAAAGAAATCTTGCCAAGACTGCAAACTGCAGGCCGACGACAACCGAGACCCGGGCGGGACGGGACTGCTGTCCCCCGGCACGGGGGCCCTGGGAGGGGCCGGCGACAACAGAGTTAGAGAACTGGAGAGCGAGGTCAACAAGCTGTCCTCCCAGCTGAAGAACGCGAAAGAGGAGATCGACGTGCTTCACGGCCGCCTGGAGAAGCTGAATCTTGTAAACATGAACAACATAGAAAATTACGTTGATAGCAAAGTGGCAAACCTAACATTCGTGGTCAATAGTTTGGATGGCAAATGTTCCAAGTGCCCCAGCCAAGAACAAATACAGTCACGTCCGGGTATGTATAATAATGTTTTCTTATCATTTGTCCCTAGATGTTATATGGCTAGACAGTATCTATAAACGTTAACCTGAGAAAATAAGTTGTAGGTGACAGTCAATAAGCCTTTTATTCATTAAGGTGTACAGGAAACACATATCTTCTCAAATGGGACCACAGAAATAACATAAGACCTAATTATAAAAATCATAATTAGGTCTGTAACCACTTTCAACTTTAAGATTTTATTTATTAATGCCAGACCTACACACAGGCAGAAGGAGGGGGGGGAGGGGAGGGGAGGGAGGGGGAGGGAGAGACTTTCTTAATGTTTTAGTGCATTTAACTTTATCTCTTCATGGAGGTGTTTGAAAACAATAAAGATAAGGCAGTGTTTGCAATTGTGCTTTGTTCTTTGGAAATCAGTTTTTCTTGTGGTCGGCAACAAGGAAAGGAAAAGAAGTCCTTGAAAGATTTTAAAAAGTAATCTGTAGTTCATAATCCCAAATATATAGTAAAAATGAGAGACTGTATAGATGGAATAAAATCAGCTGCATGTGGGTGTAAAACTTTTTGCTTTGAGGACCAGTGGCAGAAAAATGTTTTAAGGGGAGTGTTTTGGCATGCTGCTTAAGAGAAGGAATACATTTTTATTTCTATCTCTTTTACCTTAAGCTAGAATTCAAGGATATAAAAAAATAGAACTCATCCTTACCATCCAAGTGACTTGAATTAACTTTAATAAGTATATGTGAAGGACCACAGACCTAACTACCTACTCTGCCCATAAACTAACAATGGCATTGGTTCCCCCAAACGGTGGCTTTCCACTTGAGTTCCTGGGACTGCAGCAGATGGTCTTGTTATACTTTGGAAAGCCATCTCTGCATTAGACCTCTACTTACTATGAGTGTGAGGTGGAACACACTTGTAGAGATCACTTTCATTGGAGCAAGTACCTCAGGCATGCTCCACTCCCAAGGAATCTGCCAGTGAAAGTGGGTGGTGGTTACATGGAACACTGTTGCTAACACCCCTGGCAGCCTGTATCTCAGTGTACCCTGCACATTGCACATCAGAGGTCCACATTTTAGGTGACATCACTGGATGCAGGTGCACATTAGATTTGATGGTGCATGACAACTTATGATATGAACAAGATTCTATTTTTCTCCTTAAAGTTCTGGGGAAATATCTGAATATTCTGAGTTTTAAAAACACATGAATAGATTTTGTGACTTAAGGTAATTTTAATCTAAGATACCATATCTGTCACAAATTTTTATAAACATTAGCTGGCAGTAAATACCTGCCTTTGAATCCTACAGAACTCTGTTCATTGATTATTACACGTATCCTGAACATAATCACCTTCTATTTCTTGCTAGAAACCAAACATATGAAATAGTGACTAACTACTTTCCTGGATAATTACATTCAGAGTAAGAAAACTGATAATTTATTGAAGATTTCACTTGAGCTTCCTTACATAGTTGTCAAGTAAAATGAATGTGAATTTATGATCAATGCTGCACATTAGAATTTTAATGCATCATTTGGAACATGTCCTGTCAAATTTTGACGGACGCCATCAGCCCCTTTTGGTGAAAGGAAATAGAATTCTGTTTTCTCTGTATGCGTGGAATACAATTCTAGGAGTGTTGGTATCATCTGAATTTTAGGACTGAGGAATACAATGTTGGTAAGAATAAGCTTTGCTGCCCACCAGATCTGAGTTCATGTCCTGGCTCTGCCACTCAATGTTTGTGTCAACTTGGGCAAGCCACTGATCCTCTTCAAGCCTAAATATTCTCACCTGCAGACTGGTACGAATACCTGCATCATAAGGCTGACGTGCATATTAAATGTGACAATGTTATCCAATCTTTGGCAGAGTGCCTAGACTAGAGCATATAGGTAACCCTCACTAAATATTCTAGCTTACTAAAACTATTACTTATTTTTTCCTTATTGTTGTTGATGTTGTCACTATTAGTACCAACCAAGAGTATATTAGAGCACCCTTTCTACTTTATAATATCAGATTCTTGTTCTGAGGCCTTCACAAGCATTTGCTAAACAGATTCAAGTAAGTTTAGCAGAGGAAAGTTTCATTATTGCCATTGATTTAATTACCAAGCTGCCTCTGTACACATCAAGAATTCTTCAGATGCGTAGTTTTTATTAACAAAATCCAATGCCTTCCTTTTCTTTCCCCTTCAGTTCAACATCTAATATATAAAGATTGTTCTGACTACTACGCAATAGGCAAAAGAAGCAGTGAGACCTACAGAGTAACGCCTGATCCCAAAAACAGCAGCTTTGAGGTTTACTGTGACATGGAGACCATGGGGGGAGGCTGGACCGTGCTGCAGGCGCGTCTGGACGGAAGCACCAACTTCACCCGGACGTGGCAAGACTACAAAGCAGGCTTTGGAAACCTCAGAAGAGAATTCTGGCTGGGCAACGATAAAATTCATCTTCTGACCAAGAGTAAGGAAATGATGCTGAGAATAGATCTTGAAGACTTTAATGGTGTCAAACTATATGCCTTGTATGATCAGTTTTACGTGGCTAACGAGTTTCTGAAATACCGTTTACACGTTGGTAACTATAACGGCACAGCTGGAGACGCCTTACGTTTCAACAAACATTACAACCATGATCTCAAGTTTTTCACCACCCCAGATAAGGACAATGATCGATATCCTTCTGGGAACTGTGGGCTCTACTATAGTTCAGGCTGGTGGTTTGATGCATGTCTTTCTGCAAATTTAAACGGCAAATATTACCACCAAAAATACAGAGGTGTCCGCAATGGGATTTTCTGGGGCACCTGGCCTGGTATCAGTGAGGCACACCCTGGTGGCTATAAGTCCTCCTTCAAAGAGGCCAAAATGATGATTAGACCCAAGCACTTTAAGCCATAAACTGCTAGTGCTCATTCCTCCAGGTATTCACTATCTAATAGGGCAATCAATTCTTTAATCAGTTTAGAATATGCCTTGTTTTGTATTCTTTTTCCATGGCTAAAAAATTATCTCTGAGTAGTAGGTTCTTATGCTACAAAGCATTTAGAATAAAGCTGAAAAATACTGCATTTTAAAGAGTCCTTTTTTGCCATGCTGTTAGCAATGAAAACTTGCAAGCAATTGGGAATGTTGAGAATTATACATTAGATTCATAATTCTTTTCATTTCTATTAATTGAAAACTTTCTATTACTTGTATTACTTGCCACAATTAAAAATATTGTTTATTCAGGCTAGATTCTACACAAATAATCTGAACTTTGGCTGTGACTTAAGCACATCTTTTCAAGCTACAATTATTTGGATAATCTTCATTCTGAGATAAACTGACTCAATTTATGATATTTTCTTTGGGTCAGGAAGACCCCATAATAGCATTTTTGTTCCTAGATTAAGGGAAATACACAGAATTAAAGCTGTTCATGTATTATTCATGAAATATAAAATATTTTAAAATGTGGTAACTTAATATCACCCCTAAAAGCACTTAGGAAATAGTGTAACCTTAAACGCCATGGTTTAAAGGTAATTCATTCATAGTTTATAATTCAGATGTTTGATGTTGAAAACTGCTTTAACATGAAAATCATCTTTTGCTTGTATGAACAACAGTTGTTAATTTAAAATTGTTCACTACTGTGCTAGACTACTGGTAGGCTTTCTTTTTGGGGGTAGGTGTGGGTGGGGAATTCATTTACTTATAGGCTATAATACTCTGAAGGCCAATTTTATATCCAAAGCAATATCATTAACTGGTTTACTTCATAGAAAGCTAAGTTTTCTAGGACAGATAAATGTATTTATTTAAAATGTATGAATTTTGAAACATACAGAATAGTTAAAATATTATATGTTACAACTCTAACTGGTGGATTGACTATTTTACTATCAGAAATCCAAGATAGGTATTTATTTTTTTAACCAAAGTATCTGTAGCTTTTATAATTCATTAATTCTGGGATGCTAAGTATCATATTAAAAAATTTTTAAATGTTTAATTTCATCATTATAAAAAGGGAGCATTTTTGAGAGAACAGCAGTATTCTGCTGTTTTAAAAAACATTCTAGAGTAAAATTTGAAGCAACTCACTATACTGTATGTGAGTTATAGCAATAAATTTGATCTTTAATTTCTGGTGTCTGTTTCTAGTACACTAATCAGGTTTAAAATATATTTACAAAGATGCATCTATTCATTATTTGAAAGTGATTAAGGAGGACAGTTGCTTCAGGTAACAAATTAATTTTTCAAATATTAATCCCTAATAAAGTTTTAATCAAAAATAAGCAAGATATTCCTTAAAAAATATATAACAGGTTTTCAGGTAAACATGAAAATTATTAATACTATTAAAATGTTAGAGAAACGCAAATAGAATTAAATGACCAAAATATAAAACATTATAGATTTCAAAGACTATATCTACTAAGTGGGATACCAAATGTAAATGATGTAACTGATTTTCTCTTTGTTTTTTAAAAAAGAGTAAAAATATTGATATTATACAATATATTTGTTTCAGATAAGGGCATTTTCATTTACTATATATAATTATTAATATATGTATAAGTAAATTCTGTGATCGAAAATAGACTTATCACAAAATACAGTTCTAAAAAATATATGCTCATATACAGAGTGCCCATTGATTTAATCGGAACTAGATGTCATTTCAGGAAAATTTGGAAAATAATTCATTAATCCATGTAAATATTCAAAAGCTTGTTGTTTAGTCTTTCCAGACAGAGATGGATCCTTTCCTTATTCAAAGGATCAAAATTTTATTTTCCATTATACTTTTATGTCACTTTTGTAATAAATTCTGTAACATAGTCCTTTTCAGAATCATTTCATGTTGCTCATAAAATATATTCTGGACTTTGATACAATCTTTAACATGTTGATGGAAATAGACTATATCTGAAAGTCTTCTGCCTTTAACATAACTATTCACTAACACATGCTAATATTAATAAATGTGGATTGACTATTTACAAACAATGTTTAGAGTCTTGTCTTGGTTCCATTTGATGGCTAATATTTGTTATGTTAATTAAGACTTTATTTCTAAATATTATTCTTTGAAAATATTCAAAGAAATGGATCTTTAGAAATTCCAGGTGGAGCTGATTTACCTATAACTGAAAAAAAAATCAAATTTTACTTATACGTAATGTTCCAAATGGATTGACACATCTGTCCAATAAAAAAGAGCTTAAATATACAAAACATAAGTAGTATCTGAGCAACAAAATTTGCTGGTCCTTATTTTTTTTAGGACAAAATTTGCTGGTCCTATCCAAGAAAAGGTTTTCAAGGTAAAAGTGATAGGTAATATCACAATAAGCTCTTGTTTAAAATGATTTTGTGTATAATAAGGTTTATGTTTCATGTCTTTTTAACACTTTGTAAAATAAAAGATTTAGTCATATCTTTTTATTCTTCAATGTGGAAACATTAAATATTGTCAGATATTTATATATTTACTCTTATCTGAAAAGTTATACAACATTTACTTAATCTAGACAATATCCTTGACTCTTTTAAGACTTTAGTGAATACTGTTTCATTAACTGGAAGACAGAAGCAAATATAGGAACACTATGATCTTATTTCCCTCTAGAATACTGTTGAAACATCTAAAATACAAAAGTTTCAGTTTCATTTTGTGGCATCCAATTCCATTTCCTCTTCTTCCATCATCATTGTTGCTGCTCTGGTTAACCCTCATCATCTCCTTAGGATAACACAAATGCTTCCTACTAGTAGCTTATTCCTGTCCATCTTTCATATCACTTGCAAAAGATTATTCAAAAATATAATTTTTATCCTGTTATTGTCCTGCTTAAGACTTTGAACTACTATTTCCTATAAGATAAAACCCACCATCAAATAACCCACCCATCCATGAACCGATTTCTTCCATTACTTACACTCCTGCCATACTAAATGCATGGTTATGCTCAAACCAACCATGTTTTCTCATGGCTTCACCACTTTGCAAATACTGTTCCCTAGGTCCAGACAGATGCCATTCTTGACCCCCCACTGGGTCTTATGTTATCACCCATGATTAAGAGCAGGGACTCTGGAACCAAACTTCCTAGGTTTGAATTTCAGCTCCACTATTTGCAAGCGGTATGACCATGGGAGAGTCATTCAATCTTAATGTTCTTTGTTTGGTTCCTTCAATTATAAGATAGGGATAATAGTAGAATCTGCCTGATGGAGTTATTTAGAGGATTAAATGAGGTAACATATGTAAAGCATCTAGAACATACATATGTATTTAAAATCTTCCTCCCCACTCCCTCCTGCTGTTACCTCTTCTAGGCAGACTGCCCTGATGATATGAGGTGATGTCTGGCACCTCTCTTCTTTGATCCTATGCCATTCTGTATATTCCTTATTATACATTACATTATTCAATAATTGTCTAGGTTCTATCCTGAGATCAATCCATTTGAATAGAAGTAAAGGAGATTTGAGACAGGAGTGTTGTTACTCCAAGTAGTTAATAATATGTTGGCAGAGAGGAAGAGCTGTAGTCTAAAGCAGCCAGAGGTATAATTGGGAAAGGAGTGCATACCAAATCTAGGATTTGAGCAATTGTGAACACAGATGAGATGTGATTGATGCCAGATGAGACTATGGCAAGACAGGATCAGATATAGTAAGTCCTCACTTAACATTGTCAACAGGTTCTTGGAAACTGCAACTTTCGGTGAAATGATATACTGTATAACAAAACCAACTGTACTGTAGGCTAACTGATATAAATAAGAGTTAAGTTCCTACAGCATGCAGTACACAGAGGCATATGGCTGTACCAGGCTGAACAGTGATTGTTCCACCTGAGTTCCTAAAGAAAAAAGCAGTATTTTTCATACTACTTATGAAATATTATAATTTTGAAATTAATTTTAATTAAAAAATCCATGAATCCTTTAATTTTTAAAAAAATTATAGATTAGACCAAAGATCCCTTTGCAAACCACCTTCAATTTTAATCTCCTCCCTCTCCCCAGAGAGCCGAGGTGGCTGGTTCCAAACTCTCATTTCATTCTGTGTGTTGCCAAATTGCAACGTCTACTAAATCGTAGTCTTTGCCAGGTCTCTTTTGTTTATTGATTGGAAAGAGGAAATGAGGAGAAATGAGAGTACTTGGAAAATTCCAAGTACCCTGAATTTCCAAATGGAGCCTCCCTTGCTCCTTGAAGTTGTTCCTCTCCCAGTGTTTGAAAGGGCTCTTCTCTTACTGCAAGACACTGCTGCTTTCATTCCTGAGAGACACTCCTAATTCTCCCTTAGGCTCCTTCATCCCATTCACCAGCATCTCCTGATCTATAATCAGGGCAAGCCCTGCTAGCAATTATAAAGTCAAACTGGAGGAGAAGCCTTTGCTCATTTATATTAGAGACAGATTGAAGTTGCCTGACCAAGGAAGAAGAAACAATTTTAGATATGACTGAATCTATTGATATAGGCATATTTACCAGAAATTATGAATTTAACAGGCTAGCTGGAGCAGACATGTTTGATTCTAATAGTTTGCTTGCTTAGTTAACACAAATCTAGATTCAATAAGCCACTCATGCTCACTAAAGTCGAGAAGCCAGAGATGGCTTAGAATTCAAAGACTTGTAGAGATAGAAATGCTGGGGTAAATTTAGCTTTAAGCCATTCGAAAAGTATTTATTGAGTGTAAACCATGTGCCAGTCAGTCTTCTAGGAGGCTGGAGATATAGCAGTGACCAACAAATCCTATACTCACGGAGTTTCCATTTTACCACATTAGACAAATAAATATGAAAAATACCATGGATAATTAAGTAGGATAAGGGAGCGCTAGAAAAGTGGGTGCTATTTCATACAGAGCAGTCAGGAGAAGCCTCTTTGTGGAGGTGGCATTTGAACAGAGACCTGGATCCAAGATGAGCGTGTTCCGGGCAAAGGGAGCATCAGATGCGGGAAGCCCAGAGTCGGGAGAGTGGATGGCATGTTTGAGGGTCAGCAAAGAGGCCCATGGGTAAAAAGCAGAGCGTCTGGGGTGGTGAGGGCATAGGAGATCCCAGAGAGATTGGGGGTGGGGGATGGACAAGCGGTGGGGTGCCGGATAATCTAGGCCTTGTAAGCCATGGTAAGGATTTTGCCTTTTACTCTGAGTAGAGCCCTGAGGGTTTTGAGCAGAGGCAGCTCATGATCTCATTCAGTTTTAAAGGGATCACCCTTGTTTCTCAGTGGAGAATAGACTGTAGGAAGACAAGGATTGAAGTGAGGATGCCAGTTTGGTAGTATTTGCAAATAATATTGGTGAGAGATGATGAAAACATGATGAAAGGTTGCAGTGAAGTGCATCTATTTTGAAGGCAGAGGTGACAAAATTTGCTGATCAAAGGCCAGCCAGCAGTAAATGGTAAAAACAAGGAGAGGTGTCACAGAAAACCACAAGATTTTAGCCTGAGTGACTTTGAAGGATGGAGCTACTAATAATAGAAATGGGGAAATCTGCAGGGGGTGGGAGGGGCCTTTCCAGAAAGTGTGGGGGGTTGGGGGTTGGGGGTGGAATCAGAGTTTTGAACATTCTACATTCAAGTACCTATAAGACATCCAAGTGGACATAGGCATAATGTCTGAAGTTCAGGAAAGACATTGAGGGGTTCAGAAGGGCATTTGAGAATTGCTAGAATACAGATGGTAATGAACCCATGGGACTAGATGAGATAACCCAATAAATAAGTGTATGTGGAGCAAAGACTTTCACAGATGTGGCCCTGGGACAAGGTGACTTTGTAGAGGTTGGAGATGAGGAACCAGCACAGGTGCAACCCACTTGGTAACCATGTCGTTTGAGAGGGTCCCAGGATGCTTCTTTATGCAGAGGGCAGATTTATTCCACCTGGAATAGATACTTATTCTAGATTACTTTAGGTTTGGATTTCCTTTTCCTTGCTTTTGCCAGCAACAGTATTTTGTTGAGTTACTGGATGTCTTAAAAAGCCATTGTGAGGCCGAGGCAGGTGGATTGCTCAAGGTCAGGAGTTTGAAACCAGCCTCAGCAAGAGCGAGACCCCGTCTCTACTAAAAATAGAAAGAAATTAATTGGCCAACTAATATATATAGAAAACATTAGCCGGCAGGGGTGCTGCATGCCTGTAGTCCCAGCTACTTGGAAGTGAGGCAGTAGGATTGCTTGAGCCCAGGAGTTTGAGGTTGCTGTGAGCTAGGCTGATGCCACAACACTCAATCTAGCCTGGGCAACAAAGTGAGACTCTGTCTCAAAAAAAAAAAAAAAAAAAAAAAAAAAAAAAAGCCATTGTGGTATTATACAATGGCATTCTGCAAAATATTGCTCTTGTTTAGGAGGCCACTTCACAGAGGTAAAAGGAGGCAATGACCTATTGAAGCCTTAGATACTGCATCTTTTGGGAGATACCACCTTGTGAGGCTGGGGTGTTGGGATGCAGTTACCGTGTGTGTGTCTGTGCGCGCAGGCATGCCTGGGTATGTATGTGTGTACTCATATGCATATAGCAAAGGATATGAAGTAGGCCACAGACCAAAACCTTTCTCATTTGTCAACAGTGTACTGCCTAGGTTTGAGGAATCATTTATGGTCATTTAAAACCTAGGGTAAAACTTTGCTATCTTTTTATATAAACCTTTAGTTAGAGACTAGTTTTACTCTATTTTAGAGACATTAATGATTTTAAAACTTGTTTCTTTCACAAAATGTTTTCAATAAATTATCTAAGTTAGAGGTAACCTAAATCTTACATTTCTAATAGCTTCGAAAGTGTTAACACTGGAATGGCTGTCAATGAATGTGGCCGGCAATTTTCACTAAATGTTAGGTCCAGCTTTAGGTAGAAATGATATATGAGTATCTTTCCCTTATACACACACATGACATGTGCATAGATGATGTACATGCATGCTTATACATGTTATTTGTGACACATATGCTATAATACAAGGAAGTCTGCCCATCAAA